GAGCATGTTGGCGACAGTGGTCTCGGAGAGAGGAAGCCTGCAGGTAGGGAGACATGGGCCAGGCTAAACCCTACACTCAGACAGACGCCTTGTGTCATCGAGAATATCAAATCCGCTAGGGGGTACGGTGCGTGAGGACCAAAGCCCATCAACTGGTTACCGCACCCGAGATTGCACACATAGGGACATAGGGAACATCCCTTCTCAATCAACAATGATCTAAGAACAGTCAAGTTTGCCCAGAAGTCTGAGTGAAACAGCCGATATGATGACATTCGCCAAAGGAGGGCGAGCCGCCTAGCGCTGTGCCCCTGAAATCGAAGCCTGGTCCGTCTCATCGGCTGCGACAAACATTGCCGGTCCCGCTAATATTTGCTTCCAGCCCCGAACAACGTTGTCCAAACTTTTGTTTGCATTTACTCGCCACCTCGGCATAGAATACTAATTACTCTTGCCAAAGGGGAGACTGCGTGCCTAGTTGATGGCAGCAGTGGCGCCCTGGAGGCAAGCCTCTGCAGCAAGGATCAAGCAGGGGCTCGTAACAATCTCGTCCATTGCCAGCGTCCCTGAAACGCGGGCTGTACTCTCTCCATGCAAAAAAAGGAGGCGTGCAGTCGATTTACGCGAGGCACTGAACCAAAAGGCGGGGTGCTTTTCCAAGGCTGTTCAGCAGGCGTTTCCAGCGAAAGCACAGGTCTTACACGACCCGACGCTTGCAGATGTCCGAGCTCTGCGTGAAACATGCATGAAAAGACCCTCTCTTGCCATGCTTCAAATTTCACTTGGAAAGGGAGTCGAGGGTCGGATCGACTGCGTGCGTACGTCGTGGCGCAGGCCCTCCCCGCCCTCCGCTCGGGCCAACGTGGTACGACTGGATCGACCGGTTCAGTGCCCCCTTGCTGCGTTTTCTTCGTGGAGAAGCAAAATTTGTTCCCTCCGCCTTTCTTCCGACGCTACGAGGAACCAATGACGATTCACGTTCAACTCTGGGCAATGTCTAGCGTGCAGTACCCAGTGACGATTGATTACTCAGGCGAGTCGTTTTGCTCCACTCGCGGCAGAGGCGGTGTGCCAAGGCGCTATCTTCGTCATTCATTCACTCGATCTGCTACATGTACTGAAATGACGCCTGTATGGCGGCCGCTCGCAAGTCGATTTCGATTGGGACAGCCATGAGATCCCCTCGCTGGTGTAGAGCGGACAATGACGATGTAAGACCAGAGCGTTAGACCATGGCCGCTTCGCTTTGTTTCACCTGTAGCCAAGCAGATCATCCCCGCTTTTTAGTCCGACGTGCTGTAGGTTAGACACGCTTGTCGCCGGCGGCTGCAGTACGAGCAGGCCCCAGACTTCATGCAGCGAATTCCAGGCGCGGTCAGCTGTGCAGCACGTCAGCAAAGAGTGGCTGAGACTTTCTCCTTGGCACGCTCGAAGGGTTGCTGCAGACGTCACTTGAAGATCGCTTCTCTGTGTGAGCGTCGCTGGGCTTGGACCTTCAACTTTGCATTACAGGCGTGAGTTTGTCCCTGTCCAAGCGGATCACAAGCCCGGAAGGCGGCTGTGGAGGGCTCGTGGTGTGAGCGCGGAGACAAATGCCTCCCGTGCAGCCAATATTGGCTGCCGAATCAAAAAGAAATCTGCGGGAGGGTTCACTCACCGCTAACGCCACGAGCGGAACCCCTCACTGTTTGCAGCGCACACAAATTGAACTCCTGACTGTGTAAAAGAAAGTCCGATCCATTTGTTATCAGCGAAAGGGTAAGTTTGTTTTCATCGAGTAGGGTCGGGGTCGCCCGCCGCGTCCAGCATGTTCGCACTCCGCGTCCCGATGCTGCAAGCCATGAACGAGCCGCTTTCTTTTAAGAACTACAGCGACGCGGCCAGCAACAATGCAAGCAAAAATGAAACAGATCTGAAAGCCACTGTGATGGGCGTGCTTCGGCAAGGCTTGCTTCTGCGCAGCGACGTGGCGCGCCACAACGACTTGAGGGATGTCAAGATGGCGAGAAGAGCTTGACATCAAGTCCACAGCTAGATGGCATGAAAGGGTGGACAAATTGAATTCTGATCGTGCTGTAGGGTCTTCAAAGGTTTCGCCGCGGCTTTCAAACATTGAAAGCATGTTGAATGACTTGAGGTTAGGGCCGAACGCCCGAGCGGAAGCAAATCGACTACGTACGTTTCAAAATCTTTTGTCGACGTCATCTCAACCGCCTGCGGACTTGCCTCCGGTTCAGTACGAAGCAAATGAACGACCGCCCGCCCGCAGCATGAAGGCAAAGTTGTGCGCCAAGTATTCGAGCGCCTCCAGAGACATTGATAAACTCAAACTCTTCTGGACCGAAATCTACCGCTCGGGTTGATCTGTGAAGGTTTCGAAGGTGGCGGCGACGTACTCAACTACCACGATCGCATCACCACCCTCCCTCTAAAGTTTCCATGATCGCGCAAGAGCCTGTAAGCAGAACGCCGGCTTGCGATGTAATATGAACCCTCCGGGATCGATAAGCCCTTCACACAATACGGCGGGCGATGCGCCGGTGCCTTCATCATTTGCGATCTGCGCCGAGAGTTACAGCAGGACGAACTTTGTGATCGACCGAAGTCCACATATCTTCTTGCTGAGTAGGGCTCGAGCCGATGCAGGATACGGCGACTTGATAGCACTTTTCACTCGCACTAAAGGAGCCCAGAGAGAACCACGAGCCGAGGGCTTGGCTCGAAGTGCAAAAATTAGAAACTATCCTTAATAACTACCCAGAATGAGAGACGTGAATTGCTTTTTCGGGATGATCACCGATCGCACTTTGACTGCGCGCGTAGCTATGCCGGCATGTGTGTACCATCACACGCACATACTAATCAATAAAACGAGGCAGCAAGCCGATCGACTTCGATTGCTTTTGCCCGCTCGGTGCGCTTTTGTTGAGCGCGGCACGCACAGGCGCTATAGCCTGGAACGCGTAGTCCAAATCGTGAGCGTAGTCGTAGGACGTTCGTGAGTACCTCTGAAAGAACCTGTTGAGCTAGGTGAAGTCGAGCATGCCTGTCTGGGCGATGGTCGCATCACGATCTTCCGTCATCCGTCGTGTCATATCGGTTGCGCGTGTTCACGCGGCCAAGTGACCTGATTTTTGATGACCCACACTCTGGGTCACGAGTCATGAGTGCATCTCATCAAAAGCCGGAGGTCGAGCTCGTCGCGAACCGCCGCGACACAGAAACGACGGCTCACAATGCGGCGAAGGGTCGCCTCTGGTTATGTGCTGGCCCTGCACACGAATCGTGCAGCTGCACAGCTCTAGCAAAACATAAACAGCCGTTGCGCCGTTGGATTCCGTGACAATGTGAATCACGAAATATGAAGTTGCTGCAAAGCGCGAGAGCCGCGCGCGCCTTGAGAGATGCAGCCGCGCGCCCGGCATGCTGCACATGCGCCGGTTAGCGCGTCAACTTCTCTGGGGAAGTGGATGAGAGAGGAGAACTTTCCGTGCGGCTGCTTGGCGGAATCCGCTAGGGGTCCTCGCGGGGAGCAATGCATGGGGACCCGTGCTTTATTGAGTCCCAGCTTGCTCACCCTGTGCGCCCTTCAATCTTCAATGTCATGTCAAGTTCCTATTCGTGTTCGTTCATCTGCCAACGAAACAAGCCGAGCCAGCGCTCGGTGGGCTGCTCGCGCTGCCAAGGCCTCGCGTACATGTATATGTGCTGTGATGACCCGATCAGTGAAATGAGACGTGGCTGCACGGCGAAGGGCGGGACCTATGCTGATGTGCATGGACACGCTGTCTCTCCGCGGCAGCTATGCAGCACAATGTCTCCGACACCTGAGCCTGCATGGAGTGCCGGACGAGCTGATCTGGGCAGGTGGTGAGTGTACCCCAACTCGGCTGCGGCCCGCAGCTTGCGCGAAACCATTTGCATTTCCCGCTCGAAGCTGTGTCTCATTTCTGAGAAACCTAGCTGTAGGAGTTGGTTCTGCAGGCACTGCTGTGGTTCATGAGCGACTGCAAAGGTTTACCTATACCGCATGGAATGAAGCCAAGCAAAAGGGCCAAGAGAGTGATGAGGAGCGTGCAGCCCGTCTTCTGCACGGGTGGGTTTGGCTCACCGGTGCGTCTCCGCCCAGTCGTATTCGATCGTACTTAGCAAGTGCTGTCTTTCCTCCGCACTCGAATTCAACCTGTCAAACCTTGTCCGCGTCCCTTGGAGGGTGAAACACGCTCACGCTGTGTTGTCGTCGCGCTAAGGCCAGTTGCGAGAGTCGGTGACCCTCGCACCGCTGCTTACCTCTCCATTCATCTCATCGTGCATCGTTACCCTCCCTAAACTTGCCCTTAACGCAGCCTCCCCCTCTCCGAATCATTCGTTTCCAAATCCCTTTTGCATCCGGCAGTGCTAAGCGCAGGCAAGCTTGTTTCACATCAGCGCCCAGCCCTCGGCGCTCGCTTACCTGCAGCTTTCCATCAATCCTTTCCTTCCTTGGCTCCACCAAAGGCTCGCCCGCTTCCGTCCTGCGTACTCGCAAGGCTGCTCTCTATATCCACCTCATCAGTAGTACATATATACTCTCGACTGATCTCGGTGTCCGCAGTTTGTTAGCATTGCTACTACCACCGTCATCCCTTCTACTTCTCTGACTCGCACAGCAAACCCTAGCTTGCGCGATGTCGTACCCATCTTCTTCCCGCCGTGGGCCGGCTGGTCCTCAACACCTCAGTGTCCGCGACCCGCGGGCACAACCTCGCTCATTCACACCATCCGACGATCCGTACGTGTTCGACTCTCCAATTCCACCAGAGGACGGTGCGCATACACCCATTCGTCACGATGGCTCGCACGCGCCCAACGGATACGCTACACCTAATTCTGGCGTGTCCGAAGACTTCAATGTCGATGATCCCGCGCCCACACCATACACTCCCTACAACCTGAACAACACTCGAGCTCGCAACTCAAATGCCACGCTCGTATCCACCGCGAGTCAGGACTTCTTTGGCATGGAGACCGCTATGCAGGAGCACCCGGACCGCAGGCCAAACTCCAGAAATGCGGGCAGAGATTCGCGGCTGGGACGCTTCGGCGGAGTGTTCTCACCGACTGCTGCGATGTGGGAAGCTGGTGCGAATCGCGACCGGTACAATCGACTCAGTCGGCAACTCAACTCGGCAATCTCGCACGCGCCAGCGATCCCCAATGTTCGTCTCAACACCCTGGACAAGGTGTCCGAGGAGAAGCGCATCGCTAACCCCGAGACGGAGCAGAAGAAGAAGCCTCTGCGAACCAAGAAAACGAAGCGTTTCTGGCTCATCTTCGCCGCGCTGATGGCCGTGACTTGCTTGACCGGTGAGCATCAAGATGCTGCATGACATGCGCTCGACGTAGTGTAGACATTCTGACCGTGATCCTACCCTTCTCTGCTCAGCTATCGACATGTCCATCATCAGCACTTCCTTGCCGACCATCGTCGCGCAGCTTCCACAGTCCAGAATTCCAGCAACCTGGATCACGTCTGCTTTCTTGTTGACAACGACCGCATTCCAACCTTTCATGGGTGGTCTCGCGGATGTCGTCGGCCGTAGAAACTCTCTCGTCACTGCTGTGGTGCTCTTTCTGGTCGGATCACTGATTTGCGCTCTCGCCAAAGACATGCTTACCCTCGTCGCGGGCCGTGGCGTTCAAGGTGTTGGCGGTGGCGGTGTTCAGGCAATCGCAGAAATCGTTCTCTCCGACTTGACTACCCTTCGAGAACGTGGTCTGTACGTTGGTCTCATTTCACTCGTTTTTGCCGTCTCGACCTTTATCGCTCCGGTCCTCGGAGGTGTCTTCTCCGAGACCGACTGGCGATGGATTTTCTGGATGAATCTGCCTCTTGGTGGAGTGGTACTAGCTATGATCATCCCGACAATGAAGCTGCACACTCCTCCGATGCCTTGGAAAGAGAAGCTCCACCGTATGGACATCCCTGCCAACTTGGTACTCTTTGGCTCGGTCATAGCACTTCTCATCGCCATCACGGAAGGTGGCGTGGAGCATCCTTGGGGCTCGGCTAGGATCATCGCACCTCTTGTTGCCGGCAGCGTCGGTATTGCAATCTGGCTCGCCCTGGAGTTCATCCCCAACCGTTTCGCTCCCGATCCCGTCCTGCCTCTGCGTCTATTCACCAACATCACCGCTGGAACTTGCTTCTTCATGACGTTCATGCACGGCATCGTGACTTACGGTGCAACGTACATCCTGCCAGTCTACTTCCAGTCCATCAAGGGTGCCAACCCTCTTCGGTCAGCCATCGACATCTTCCCATCAACTGCTCCGGGACCGATTGCTGCCATCATCGCTGGTATCGTGATGGCTGTCACGGGCAAGTACAAAATCCAGATCGCCTTCTGGTGGGCCACCATCCTCATTGGTGTCGGGCTTATCCTCCACTGGGACGTCGACACTCCCGTTTACGAGTGGGTCATTATTCAGCTGGTTCCCGGCTTCGGTGTCGGCGCCCTTTACGCTCTCACTCTACCGCCGATCCAGTCGTCCTTGCCCGTGGTCGAGTTAGCGCATGCGACCGCTACATTTGCATTCTGCCGCAGTCTCGGGTCCGTCTTTGGAATCGCGTTCACGACCACTATCTTTGTGGCGCAGGTCGACCCGAAGCTCGCTGCCATTCCAGGTGCAGCTGAAGCAGGCCTGCGAGGTAGCACCGCCCTTGGGTTCGCGACGGAGTTGCACCGTCTGCCCGCTGAGCTGCAGCCACCAGTAATCGACGCTTTCATGTCCGCCCTCCGTTCGGCTTTCTTGCTCCTCGTGCCGTGTGCGGCCATCGGCCTCATCGCTTCGTTCTTCGTCAAGGAACTGCCGCTTCCAGACTTTAACGAATCGGACTTTGGTATCAACGATGGCACCAACCCAAACGCAGTGTTGGCCAACGCGGAGGTCGCTCATCAAGCCGAAGAGGGTCTTGTCACGGTCGAAAAGCTGCCCAAAGCACCTGAGCGCTCGCTTTCCAAGAGATCGCAGCCGCCACCTTCGGACAGCCCGTACAGCCCTTACAGCTCCAGCGGCAAATTTGGTAGAAGCCCCTCGTTCGATCACGGTAGCAGCTCCTCCCCCGACACCAGCTCGCCTACCGGCTATCCCAAAGGCACAGAGCGACGCATGTCTACGAGCGAAGCATACAAGAAAGCTCAAGCGGCTCTGGCCCACGCTCAGCCGCCAAAGCCTCGTCACGTTCGTCGTCGTTCCAGCAGACTGAGTCTGTACGGTGACGATGAGAACGAAAAGGAAGCGCATCACGCCCTTGCAAGCTTGCGCGACGTGGACCGCGCTCGCAAAGAAGCTGCGCGTCAAAGCGTTAGGAATCCAGATGGCACTTGGCTCGGCACGGTGCAAAGCGACCCTGCTGGCACCGGGGCCGCTGGCTTTGGCGACTTCGACTATAGCGTTGATGACGACGACGACTATGACTGGAGGCAGGGTCGCCGCTAAAACGTTTATAAGTCCTTCGTTCGATTCGGGTGCTCAAATTCAAGGGTCGAGCACTCTCGCGTCACGTGTCCTCATTGTCTCGAAGCATCATCACACCACTTACCATCTTTTGACATGCTGATACACCCGAAATCACACAAAGACCTAGCAGCCCCTCCTTTCACTTCGCTCCATCAATGCACGCAGCCTCAGCGCTCGCAGTGCACACCCCCTAAATCCACACTCTCTTTGTGAACCTCGCGCTTTGATTCTGGGTCGTACAACACAGAACATGCCTGTTAGCAATTCAAAGCTGTTCCTTTCATCGAGTGATTGCGGGTGATGTTCGACACGTGTTCATCTAAGCCCGTGTTTGGCATCTCTGTGGGTAGCCTGTCTGACTTGAGCACTGAGCTGAGTGGGATCATAAGGGATGCAGGGGAGCACCAGGCAGCATAGAATTGATGTACCTGCACACCGCCTCGAGTGAGGACAAGTCTGAATGGCGGACCACGGAACTTACAGAACGTGCGGCCAATATCAAGCCATGATGAGGGCGCAATGAAACGGATGCGTTCGGAGTAGTGCGATGCAAATGCAATTTGTGCGTGAAACGCGACCTTATTCATTGCCTGCTGTATGACTCAGGAGGTTGATTCGAACGCGCCAAGATCGTTTAAATCGTCCTCCCACACATTACGACTGATACTGGCCAACGCTTCTTCCAGAGAGGGGGGTATCCAAAGATCTTCGGGTCTCAAGTTGAGTGCATGAAGATTCTGCGCATAGGTGTCATCGCGCTCTGGTCGTCCAGCTTCGGTTAGTGATGCCTCGCCGCCGCTGTTCTCCTTGGAAAGGAAGTACGATTCGACAGTGTCGAGCTCATCTGGTGCGCTTATCACGCGGGTTAGATTCGGATCCGACGAACCAGCTTCGTCTCGTGGCACTTCACGACGAGAACCACTGGAGGCTGTGGTGCTTGCATCTTGTTGGATCGATGTGCTACCACCATGCTGCATGACACGCGAAGGAGGGAGCAGCGGATTCTGTACGCTCGCCTGAGTCCCAGAAGCTCTATCTTTGCCACCGTGATCTTGAGGCTCTCCTGGAGACATGCCAGACTTGGTGCGCGCAGTCTCGCCGCTCGCTTGGTGCTCATGAGCCGCTTTTCCGTCCAAAGAAGTCATTGGCTTATATTTTGTATCGCCGAGAAGCTTCGCGATCCTCTCTTTGACAATTTTAGCTCCAGACTGGAGGACGTGCTGGTCCACCTTGGTCCTCAATAAACTATGCAAAATCTGCTCATGTCGAGCTTGTGCAGCTCGAATATGAGAGTCTAGCAGCCATTTTTCTCGCATCGAGGTTTGGCGGCGCAGCTCAGCTTTCTGGGCGTCGTTGAGATGGCTTTCCGCCGCATCAAGAATGTCTATTTGACTGCTTGCTGCGGGAGAATGGGTCGAGGCTGCAGATGCAACAGGCCTTTGTGATGGGAGCGGCGAGTGAACGACAGACGGCTCTGAATGTTGCTGGGCATGGAGAAAGTTGAAGAGCTGCGTTGTAGTGACTCTGTGCCGGATGAAGGGCTGCGTGGGCACTACCGCTTGGGAAGAGCGCTGCGCAGCGGACGTAGAAGTTGCGTCCTCGTTGCCGATTGACACGATCGAAAGCTGACGATTCGGCCGCGATGCCTCTGCAGTGCCCTTTGGAGCGCAAATTCTGGATGCCGGGGCCACTGACATCTCGTTGAGAGCAGACCCGCTTACGCCCGGTGATGACTGTGCTGTGCTGGAGTGACTTGTCGGCGCAGCGACACTCTGCATAGCTTCCTCTGACGCCGAAGGAGGATTTGAGACGCCTTCCCTATCATGGTTCTGGTCAGATGGCGATTCGCGTGCGCTAGAGTCTGCCTGAAGAGGCGAGCTTGGTGTCGAGCTGATTGATGTCCTTTCATCGCGAGCATCTCCCACAAGAGACTCCAGCCGACGTTGTTTCCTTGCTCTGCGGGTCAGACCAGTAGCCCCGGCAGCTGCCAGTCCTCCTCGAGTATTGAGCCGAGCTCTCAAGTGCACTTCCTCATCAAACGTGGTTGGTGAATCATCCGAACCATTCGTGCCCGGCTTTGCAGGGTCTCCTCGTGGCTCGGTGCGTGTTGATGCGAAACGTGCCGGAGGAAGAGCTCGAGCGGGAACAGATACGCGTGCGGCCTCCCAGACCACGGGCTCTGGAGTGGGGCTGGGGCGTTTTCTGTGTACCCGCCGGGGTACTAAGGCATCGGGCTGGGAGGTCTGGGCTGACATGTTCCGGCTAGGAGGTCGAGACCGTGGTCGACAAGTGGAATCGGCACCGATTGCTCGGGTTGAGATAAAAGAGGGTTCAGATTCCGAGACTACTGTCACGCTCGATCCATTGGATCGCGGAAGGGTCGCACAGGTCGCTCGAGTGGATTCGGGCACCTCTGGCGGGTGCCCTTCGCAGACTGCCCGATCGTGGCAGTTGACTTGCACCACTTCGCTATGATCGCTGGCCGCGTCGGAGAATCTTGGAGACCTTCTGGGGTCGTCGAGTGGCGTGAGTTGACCACTTTCAGGAGATTGACTGAGCACTGTGCCGACTCTTCTTGGAGAGCCCCTGCCAACGGGCAAAGTAATACCAGTGGAGGTGCGCGAGCGTGAGTGGCATGTAGATGCGGGAGGCGAAGGCAATAGTCGCTGCAAATGCTCACTCCGCTGTGGTTGAGCCCAGCCGCTGTTCAGGACGTCACCGTCCCCTACATCGTCCTCGCTTTCGCTCGTGCCGAAAAGCGGAGCCTCATCTGTCTCTGGATCTTCTGTGTCGACTGTGGGAAGTTGGGCCTCACATTCTGGTGCGGCAGGCTTATCCGGTGCGGAAGCGTGTGGTGCCTGCTGTTGACTTTGCAGCAGATGCCGATCAACGCTCATCGTGCACACAGATAGGTCGATGTATGGGATGTAGGCGGATCTAGCACCGCTAAAGGTGCACACAAAGCATAGTTCCGGTCGATGGGTCGGCAACCACGAATCTAAGGTGCAGTTCTTAGAGGCCAGCGTCTAACTGGGGCATTTCCTTCGTTTGCAAAGGTCATGGCGCTTCGTCGTGGATCGGGTGGCAGCCGCAGCACTGACTGGCGGCGCCCGTGCAAACGAGCGATTGGTGACAACACAGCTCTGGAGCCGAGATGGCGGGCCCTACGCTCAGAAGAGAATGTGAATATGTTTGCAGCATGTATGCGCATGTGGTCAAGAGGGTAGGAAGTCAAAGCTGATGATGCTCCAGTCAAGAGTACATGCTCTCTGTCCGCGAAGTCTCCACGAAGCCCGCGCCGTGGTAAAAAGTCCAAGATTGGGGTGGAGGCTTAGTCACGTGCTCCAAAGGCGCATGTCCTTTGTCACGAATGGGTTGATCAGCAGTCAAAGTTGCAGCTGGGCGCGCTGAGAAGCTTTCCGGCTGCTTCACAATTCGTAAGTGATGCCTTGCCACAACTAAGACGGCCACTCACAACGTACACGCACCATTCCAAAGCCGCATCGCACCCTTTGTCAAGCACAATAGATCGGTGGGCGTCCTTGCGATGAGTGTGATGGTGATCACTGCCACATCAAGCCTTGAGTGCAGTGTGCAGAAGCGTGGAGGTATCCAATCACTTGCTCACACTTGATCTCAAGGTTACGCAGCGATGAGCAAGCGAAGCACAACGAAGCTATCATCCACTGCTAGGCATCTGGAACCGTCACTTGCATTGCAAGATTGTTCGAAATACCATCGATAGAGCGAAGGCAACCCAGCATATAAAGACCTGGGCATGGCTTGCGCTCACGCGCTGCGGATTGCGTCCAACTTCAATCGCGTGCTAGACCAGTGACACTGCCTCCTTCAACAGCGTCAGTCTTGGAGCTACCGTAATACCTTGAAGCAATGCTCGTATCAGGGCTGCCCTCTGTACCGCAGGCAGTCAGCAGG